TTAAACCCATCTTCAGTGAAGGGATGGTTTGATATTGTGGACTGCGAGATTGTTCAGAGGGACATACGGCCGGAGGATATCTATGGAATGGATGAAAGTGGGTTTCCGCCTTCAAATCAGGGCGTTGAGCGAGTTGTTGGTCGAGCAGGGAACAAATTACAACATAAGCAGGGTAGCGCAAACCGTGAAAACGTCACAGTGTTAGTAACAATCTGTGCAGATAGAACTACATTGCGCCCATTGATTGTCTTCAAAGCGGAGCACCTGATGCTGAAATGGACTCAGAACAATGTCTCGAACGCAAGGTATTCATAAACATACATTTGATGTGCTTTTCGCTGACTTGATATCAGTTTTACTAGATCCCCGAACGACTGGACAGATGGCGAAATAGCTCTGGAATGGCTCAAGACAGAGTTTGAGCCACTCACCAGAGAAAAGGCCAAGGGACGTATCCGAATTCTCATAATGGATGGTCATTCTTCGCATTACACACTCGCATTCCTGCAGTACGCTATTCAGCACAACATAACTGTTCTTGGCTATCCACCACACTGTACTCATGCGCTGCAAGGTCTCGATGTTGTCTGTTTTGCGAAGATGAAAAAGGCCTGGCATGATGCAATTGATGAATTCGAGATACGCACCATGCGTGCAGTAAATAAGGATGATTTTGCACTGGTCTTTGGGACAGCCTTCCTGAAGGCATTCAATGCGGATACAGTCTTCTCAGCATTCCGTGTTACAGGTGTACATCCATTCAACCGCGACGTTATCTCTGCTCAGCAGATGAAGCCGAGCGAGGTAACATCAACAACAAGCACCTTCCCATTGCCTCTTCCTAGCCCTGTTCGTCGTGTCATTGCTGTATATCACCATCAGCCCCTTACAAGTTTTGATGTCGACTCCGACACTCACCGAATGCAACCTACAAGTTCTCCACCATCTTCAGCACTCCCCTCAACTCCGACACGTCGCAGAGTCCTAAACATTGATCCCACACTTCGCACCCCACCTTTGACCCCAAAACGGCCATCAAACACATCTATAGACCCTTCGCAGTACACACCATCAAAGCGCATGCGGTTGATGGTCGGCTCGCTAGCAATGTCAGATTCCGGAAGCTTCTTGGTTTCACGAACAAAGATGAACTGCACGTACGCAATTGCACCTCCTGTTCTTGAACAGACTCCTAATTTACCAGAACCCGACTGGTCCCTCACGAGATCTACACATAATTTCAACTTGTTTTCACGAAACGAACTGGAGGAACGGGCTCGGAAACTCACCAATAGCCTTAATCTTGCGCAGCGTCATGTTCAGGTGTCTAGGAGCATAAATGAAGCAGCTAATGCCCAGCTCATTGTTCAAGACTTATATGCTTCGAAGCTGAAGGTGGCGTTGGGAGAGAAGGAGAAGGGACGATCAAAAGACAAGACAAGGATGTTTGAAGACGGGCACGGCAAAGTTTTCACTTCCAATGATGTTGTCGCTTTCATCACAGACAAGGAGAAAGCAAAGGAGCAGGAGACCGAGGATGCTGCAGAGAGGGCAAAGGTCAGGCTAGACAAGCGTGCTGCAAAAGAGTTTGCTGAGAAACAATGGGAGGAGATCAAGGCGAAGCACACAGCTGCTGTTGCACAATGGGAGGCCAATTGCAAGCAATGGACCGAGGAGGGAAAGCCAAAGAAACTGTGGAATCCGAAACCCAAAAGAACTAAGAAGCCTCTTCGTGAGGAGCTCGAGGCCACGGCATTGTTGAATGCACAGGATGGAGGTAGGCCTGTCGATGAGACGAGTGTGGGTGCAGACGACGAAGATGATGAGGACTGATTTAGACAAATTGTCACGGTGTCACAGGCGTGCAAAGGACGTGCTTTTTGTGACAAGAGCCATGATTTCATGAAACATTTATTCTGTTAGCACCTGAGCTCGTAGAGCCCTCATATTTTAATCGTATATTACTAGCACAGTCTAATATTATTGTATAAATTTTGTTTGATGAAAATGTGTCGAGCATGGCAAGGAGAAGAAAAAGTCGATTGGGTGCGCAAAGGAATCGAACTACACTGTAGTATATGTGGTGGCGCCTCTATCAGACCTGCAACCAAGCTTGAAAATGTGGTCAGAGCTACAGCCTGCATCACATGACAGCAGTGGAAAGTGAATGGTTAATTTCGAAACAACTGTGTACACATTGTATTTTCATCATATATTTTTTAAAAGGACTTTTCCAATTAGTCATCCTGCTTAGTCTTATCTTAGGTGAATGCAATGATGTGGACAGTCAGGTGGCCCAAATGGGAACCACCTTCCTTATTTAGGGGGTGCATAGACTTTCTAGTACTCATGCTTACCAAAAGTGCCTGGTAATGGTCACAAGTGACAAACACGTCACACACACCGTCGGTCTTTTTGGGTGTCGTGTATGCTTCAATCACAATTCTTCAGCCAAAAAAATCTATGTACATAGTGGAATGATAGCAATAGAGTCCATGTCAAGAAAAATAGTACAATTAAAACCCTGTGTGCCTACCTTTCGCAGCCAGGACAGGCTGGACAGCCTTGACCTGATCAGACATCCGACCAACATGCTTGTTGATGTCCTTTGACAGTGAGACTCTCCCACACCTCAACAATGGTCTGCTTGAGCTCCTCTACGGTATTAGGATGCTGAGGATGACTACAGATCACATTTTTGAGAAGATGCCAGGCGAGGAAAAAGAGGGATGATATTCATATCCAAGAACTATTTCTTTGTTGCTTTTGCCCTATGGCAAGCCACACCATCCTGTTGGAAGAACATATACCCTCTATCATCCACAGCTCTTGATAAACATCCCGAAGAGCGACATCAAGAACCTGCTCATGATAGAGCACAGAAAATCTTGTTTTTTGTATGTTTTTTGTTTGTGCTAATCCACTATCTAATTTGACTGTTCTCATTACAGTAAAAGCGGATTACCATGTCCTCTTCAACGAGAATCTATGGACTTTTTATCCTCCAAAGGAGACATTGGTGCACTATATTGAGCACGCACTGCAAGCATCCACTTAGAATCCCCCCATGGTGAGTCAATTAGTTGTTTTGTTTAATTGTGGCTTTCTCCACACATTATAGTTTAACACTTTTAGACACTTTTATCCAAGTTGTTTTAAAACTTTGTTATTCCTTTCTCCAAACAAAATACTAAAGGAATAACAAAGTTAAAAAACGATTTGGATAAAACACTGTGGGCATCCACTTAGAATCCCCCCACAGTGAGTTGAATAGTTGTTTTATTTAATTGCGCCTTTCTCCATGCAATATAGTTTAACCCTTTTGGGCACTTTTATCCAAATTATTTTTTAACTTTGTTATGCCTTTCTCCAAACAGTATACTTTAACTTTCTTAGTCTACGAAGGTGTTCATGGAAAAGAAACCCTCCTGTTATTACTGTTTCAATAAGCTCAACATCTGGACTCTCTAAGTTTTTAGAAGGATCTAATTTATAAATCCTGGTGATTTTACCAAGTACGAGGAAGCCAGTGATGACGACCTTGACATCGCGTTGCCCCTTCACCATCCTCTGCATTAGGGCATACCACGAGTCCCTAGAACCCGTGGAAACCCGTGACCCGACCTGGACTGCAGATCCGTATTCACGGATCACCCGTACACGGGTGATCCGTGGGAAACGGATTGTCACGGGTCCGGGTTGAGAATTTGTACTTTTACAATACCCGTGGGTAGTTCATAGGTATATTTTTCGCCGGTTCATTCATTTGTATATTGTACATATGTTGTATGTATCAACTTGCATACTTGTAACTTATTCATTCAACAACCTAATATAATTTTATAATCAGTAAAGACCCGCAGGGAGCTGTGAACAAACCCGTGACCTCCGTGATCTGGAACCGTGGGAATTTGGTGACCCGTAGATCCGTGTCCCAACGGGTCCAGGTCATGCCGGGTCCGGGTTGAGGATTTTGGGTCACGGGTAGATCCGCCAACAGGTCCGGGTCAACCCGGGGATCGACTCGTGGTATGCCCTACTCTGCATGTATTCGAAGATCTGTACTATTGCAGCCTCTTTCAACACATTCTTCCTCTTCACCTCGGCAACCATTCAATATCGGTCACCTTTGGTGTCCTCCGACGTCGTGACCACAGTAAGATCTGAGCGCTTCGCGCCGACGTTACCACACTTAACTGATGCACCCGTCAAATTGTAGCACGCCAGCAGCGGCTCAAGGGATCGAAACTGCATTTTTTCAATCGAAAGGGAGTAAGAAAACAATGAATGAGGATAGAGGAGGGAGAGCAGGCAGTACCAAGACATAGTGCTCGAAGAGATTACACTGCCATTTGTTATGCCTTTCACCAAATGATATACTTTAACTTTCATTTCATTAACAAAGTCATGTTTTCATCAAAGCACCCCTTTGTTAAGCCTTTCTTGTATGGACAAAGGCAGAAAGAAAGTTAAAGTATGCAGTTTGAGGAAAGGCATAAGAAAGTTAGAAAGTGATTTGGATAAAAGTGATAAACTATGATGTGTGGAGAAAGCCACAATTAAATAAAACAACTAATTGACTCACCATGGGGGGATTCTAAGTGGATGCTTGCAGTGACTAGAACTTTTATCATAAACTTGTGCAAATGTAAATCAAGTGAACATGGGAACCATGAAAGTATGATTTGGTTAGGAATGTGGTTGGGCTATTGAGTTAGAGTCCACCCATGGTGAGATGAATAATTGTTTTATTTAATTGCACCTTTCTCCATGCAACAAAATTAAACACTTTTTCACACTCTTATCCCAATGTTTTTTTAACTTCATTATACCTTTCACCAGGCAATTAATTTCAACATCCTATACACCATTAATTTCAATTTTGACTAGGAAAACACTCAACATGTCAACACTCAAAAAAACCCTTCCAGACAAAAAATGTACTATTGTACTCCCTTCTCTCTTCTTATATGTTATGCATGCAAACAGTGTGGGAAAGTGGACCTGTAGCTCAGTGGTAGAGCGTGAGATTCCAGGTTTGGGTGTTTCCTCAAGGCCATCCGTTCAATCCGGGTCAGGTTCAGTCTTCACTTTTTCATAAGTATTGGTTGATTTTTTTTTAGAAGATCAAATTCATTTATATAGTGTGGTCAGTCTATGTAAGGCAAATGCACTGGTAGCTGCAACAAGCTACCAGAGGAATGAGAATGTATAATATATATTATATCCTTCAGGAGGATTGACCATTGAGTCCGGAGGCAGGTGGTTGATACAGAAGAAGTCAGTTGGAGGGTGTGAGATTCCAGTTTTTGGTAATGCCATCCGTTCAATCCGGGTCGGTTCATTATTTTTTTCTTTTTAGAAGTATTGGGTGCCTTAACTTGCATTTTAAATCTCATGTACGTACAGTCAGTGTAACCGGAACGAGTAAATTGAGTCACATATTCCTGTGTCACGATCACAATCCGTTCTGGCCGTCTGCATGTGCAACTTGCGAACATTGACTCACAGCGCGTCTAAAATGCTGCGAACAGGGCTTTCTAACGGCAGAGCGATGTCATGCATTCGGCCTATGTCTAGACCGGTGGCGGCGGCTGCTCGAGTGCGACGACCACGACCGCGACCGCGACGGATATGCTGTGCATAATCTTGTGTCTCGTCGCTCAAGGGCTGCGCGCGGGCGTCGAGAACCTCGCGCACTAGCCGTCCTCCGCTCACTCCTACGCAAGCGCGCGTGTATTGAACCTCTTGTTTAATAATATCCAGGAGTCTCCGTACTCATTTTTTGACTTTTATTTTAATTAAATAATTAGACATTTGTGAGCACACGAGCACTGACCGGCCTCCACAGCGACTATTCCTTCAGCCCAAGAACTCTCATAGGCCTTAAGCAAGTACCTGCTCATGAAATTCAATTTAGGACAATGTACAAGAGACCAACAAACCCAGAAAGATTTGTCTCGTCAGCCTGTTATCAAATCAGTCGTATGCCCTAAGCGACTCCGTTGTCTTCTTTCGTTTATTGTGGCAATCAAAACTGAAATATAGGTATGTAAGCGCAATAAGAGCGGTCGGACAGTCGACGGTCAAAATTGAAATTAGAGGGAAAAGAAAAGTACGCCGGAGAAAGCGCGTTGGACGTGCGGAGAAATATCGTTCAATCGAGCTGGACAGTAAGACACCACTTGAGCGCGGAGAGCACGTTCTGGAACAGAGCACATAAACGCATCACCTTCCGTCTTGACCTCATAACCACCGTATAGTCGGAGCAGTCGGCGCAAGAGCTGGTTATGTAGCCGCATGGCGGTCGGCATGCCCGCGTTCGCACCCCAGAGGTGGGTCGCATTACGGATGTCCGTGAACACCAGCGCGAGACATGACCCGTTGGTGCGAAAACCTCCTGAGGAAGCTGTGAGAGCTGGACATCGCCAATGTCCTGCGTCTTCGGCTTCGACTTGCGCGCCAGGTGGAAGTCTCTACATCGGTTAGGGAACTAACCGTCGCCTGCCATGAACGCGCCTCGAACAAGCCAGACACACTGATTACCATAATCATAGTGCTTCCGACCACACACTCATCGTTCCAGCCTCGGAACTCTGGCAGGACGACGTCCAGCATGCCGACATGGTCTTTCTTGCCAAGCGTATCTGTGATATCCTATGATACAACTTGCAGCTTGTTGTCGTTTAGGAACATAACAGATAAACTCGCCAACCGACACGCAGATCCTCCGTTGGGATTATCGAGAGTTTGTTGCCGCTGAGGTAGATTTCCCTCCAATGTCGTCAAATTCCGGAAAAACGAGTACGGCAACTCTTGGATAGAATTAAACGAGAGGCTCATTACACGCGCACTTGCGGCGCAGTGAGCGGGGGACGGCTAGTGCGCGAAATTCTCGACGCCCGCGCGGCTCGCGGCTCTTGAGCGACGAGACACGAAATTATGCACAGCGTGGTGTCCGTATCCGTCGCGGTCGCGCTCGAGCCGCCGCCCTCGTCGGTGCTCATGCCCATGTCCGTGCCCATGTCCGTGCTCAGGCTGGTGAAGGAGATCGTGCCGAGAAGGAGCGTCGAGAGCGTGCTGGGCAGGGTTGAGATGCGGATCGAGCGCGGACGGGGCGAATAATGACTGTAACTGATACGGGAGGGTGTGCCTGTGTGTGGAGGGCGGCACCGTGAGCAATGAAACTCCGTGGTCAAGGTAGATGCCGGCTGGTGCTCGAGCTCGAGCGCAGTAGATAGTTCGTTTGCATATTGAGTCACATAATCCTATGTCACGGTCACAATATGTTTTGACCGTCTCTGCAAGTGCACCTGCGGTCATTCACGTTAACAGCTCACACATGTTGCGAACAGGGCTTTCCAACGGCAGACCGACACGCGCTTTTACAGCGATCTCTCGACCTCTATCCTCTTCCTCGACTTCGGATGCAGCTCCGCCAAACTCTGTGATATCCCATTCCTCGAACCAGTACTACAAAATTACTCTCCTACGTTCTGCGATCTCCTTAGGCTCGAAAAAGAAGGGCACGCTCGTCTCGCTCGGAATTCACCGCCGATTGCAGACCGTCTATCATCCTCACTCGCCCGAATTTGCTGGAAAAATACTCGCAGTAAAGGAGCTTGTGAAGGTCGAGAATGTGTCGGAGGAAGAAGTAAAGTCAAAGACGGAGCAGAGGCAGGAGAGAAAGGCGTCTCGTGGATTTGAGGTCGTCAGTAGTTTGAGGGATAGGAGTTCTTTCGGTGCGGGGGTTCCTTTATGACGGAGGAGGTAAGCTTCTTACCTCAATACTGCAGACAAAACGCCTCAATCTTATAGTCATAGTTTATTTAGACCCTGACCTTGGCCGCTTTCCCGTTCCCATTCGCGCCAACGAGTGTAGCGGATATACTACCTGTTCTATAGCAGTATCGCATCGCCTGTGGTCACCGATGTGCTCTAGCAAACAACGCCCAGCACATTCTGGTGGTACCTCTGTCCTAGCATTCGACTCTTATGAGCTGAAGGAACGTCCCTCGGAAATGAGGCTAGTGCTGGAGAGAAAATCCATCATTTGGATATTATATTTTGCCCTGTAATCGAATTTCTTGAAGTTTGGGATAATTGTAGGAGACAATACTTAGTTCTCGGGATGTGAATAAAAGCGAAGTATAAGAAATGAAAAAGAAAAAAAAATGGAGATGAAATATTACGTAAATGAGGCTTGACGACCTCGCGAAAGTGCCTGCCCTAAACAGTAGTAGTCAACTGTCCCGTCGCGCAATTCAACGCGTCTGTTCTTGTCTCCCGTCTGGCTCTTGTCCGTACGCCGCCCATCTTTTCAACAACACGCAGCCATGCGCAAGGGACATGGCTCAAGCAAGGTATGCGTGCAGTTATGGAACTCTCATCATTGTTGACATTCTCCAAGGTTCCTGGTGTCAAACTACGACCAGCCGCACCAACCAAGTCGAGTTCGAGCTCGAATTCGAATCTGAATTCGAGTCTGAAGCAACCTGCATGGGTGCAGCCCTCTGTCGCCGATGATGTCGACGCCTCGGAGATCCTGAAGAGTTGCAAGAAACCTTTCGTTGGTGTCGTAGTTTGTGCTTCTGGCGTTAGCGACAAGGTATGTCTGGTTCAACATTGTGGCCAACTTCCTGTCTTCAACGATCCGCACCAGGTCAATATATTCCAGCACGCGGTACATCTTGGCGCACAGACATCGTCGGATCTTACCGACAGAGTGACGCATCTCATCGCCGAAGCACCTGGAAGTGCGAAATACATTGTACGTCTCTTGCTTCCCGATTTCTCATGCACACTTACTCATTATCTCACGTCTGGTCGCATAGTATTGCGTACAACATGGCATACCAGTCATGCAGCCATCATGGATCAATGACTCGTACGCGAAGTGGCTGAGTGGCGAAAGTGTAGGAGTAGAGTCGGTCAGTATATTTTTCGCACTTAACAGGCCTTACTCTATTTACGTTTTTGCCCTACCTTTAAGAGCGTCGATGCTCACCGCCTCCCTACCTTCAAGTCCATACACCTCTGTTTGACTGCTTTCGACGATGTCCAGAAGAGAAAGCAGATCCGCAAACTTCTCGAGAAGAATGGCGGAACCTATGTCGACGCGCTTGACAAGGGCTCGCGTTTGACACATCTTCTCTGTGGACCGGACAGAGGCGAAAAGGCGGATGAGAGAGGCTTTACACCAAAAATGCAGTTCATCGAGAAGTCGAATAAACGCAGCGCTGAGAAGGTGCATTTAGTATGGGAGGAATGGCTCTGGGACTGCCTGGAATTCAAAGGTAAGTCCTCATGCCGCAGTCTGGTTTCTGACTTACTAGATGACAAAAATACCAGGGCTACTCAAAGAAAAGGCTTATTTAGCCAATGGTCCTCGGCCACAGCGGCGGGTTAGACGAGAAGGTAAGTCAGAGCTTTGATTGGTTTTAGCATCAGAAGGTAGTAAACTCAGAACTTGGCATATGCAGCCTCGCCGCTCATGGCTCCTATATCTTCAGCAGCTGAATCGCTTCGCCGGCAAGATAGCATTCCTCCGTCTTTACCAAGCACAACTTTCGTCAACCCAGCAGATGTGGAGGAAGTCGTTTCGGTCAAACGCTTACCCGAAACGACAGCTCGACTATGGGAGGGCTTACTCAAGAACAGAGGCTTCGAAATAAAGGACGGAAAACTGTTGAGGAGCCCTACAAAAACTCAGTCTTCGAACTCGGCGTCCGGTTCTAGTTCTAAGAAGGAAACGCGATCCCCGTCGCCTCTTTCCACCAGAAAACCTCTGCCTAAAGTCAAGCCATTGAGATTGGAAGTAGATTCTGGGAGCTCTCTTTCTGCTGCATTCAAGCGCACGAAATCGTTCGCCGCAAAAGCAGCACCTTCGGAAAACCCGAGATCTTCGTCAGCTTTCCCCTCATCATTACCTTCGTCGTCAAGATTAGCAAGTACCCTTTCGTTCGCACCAGTTAAGGAGGATAATCAAACACCAGATGGCGAGAGAAATCTCTTTGCTGGCCTTAAGTTTCGGGCGCTTGGTGACGCTGATGGGCCGAAGCTGGCTCAGGCGGTTGAACTCCG